GAGAGAGAGAGAGAGAGAGAGAGAGGCTTGCCAGGGCGGGATGGGAAGGGCCGGAATGGTGTCGAATTATTATCGTCGAAAGATGTCGACAAGTGATGGTGTGGTGCCCGTGAGCGCCCGCTTATGCAGGAGGTGTTGAGAGTACTTAGTATTGTGGCAGGCCGGCCGGGGCCGTGTCTGCGTTTGAGCGCATGTTATTGTTTTGGCGTGTAGATATTAAAAGCGGTAATCCAATTGTCGAGACCCTTTATTCTGTTTCCATTTGGTTGCTCTGTCTCTTGTTTTGGCTTTATCTTGCTTGGATGGGAGAAATAAGCCACGAGCACCCCTGTCCGCGTGGCTTCTGCCAAGAGGACCCCCCGAGGCAGTGGGCAGGCGCGGAGACGGCCAACCGCGCTTTTTGCACCAACAGGGAGCTCCAGACCTGGGTCCAGAACCACGAGGGGCGGGGGTGGGATGAAATCTGGCGGCGCCGAGGAATAGACGACAAGATGAATTGCGAAGCCAATTGGCATGGCAGGGTCAATGATGGCAACAATTTCACGACGCTGGACTGGACAATATCAAGGTCGAGGGCGGTTCCATAATACTGATAGCTCTCAGCTAGAGCCCTGTACCGGGACGCCAGGTAGCGCTACCGGTGGACTGGGCCCCCGCCGCTGGAGCTTGCAGTGAGCGTTTTTACTGGAGAGAGGCGAGCAAAAGGCCCCCCTTGCCGGCGAGTCGCCCCCCTCCCTTGGGGCCTGTTGATCGCTGGGGCAAGTAGACGCAAGCTGCGCAGCCACGCATTCCTGGTCAGCGTGCGTTCCTATTTGGGTAGGGAAGACACGATGCAGACGAGCCATTCGGTGCTCGACGTCGGTAACAAGTCGGAAGCTTGGATAGTTGGAAATTGTGTTGGCTCTGCGGTTAATGTATTCCTTGCATCCGTACAAGAGGTACTTGGCTAGCGCCGCCACGGTCCACCTGGAGCGGCCGCATGATTTTGATTTGAGCGGTTGTTGTTGTCGGCGGGATTTATAGCGAGCGGTGCCGATGAATAAATACCCAAGCAACGTTGATGGGGGATGATGGAGCTTGGATCATGTACCCAAAAGTAGATATGCAGGAGAGAAAGATACATTGTCCTGTTCCTCTGGTTACCTTGTAGCTTTCTTAGCTTTTAATAATTACTTAGTGTACTGGTGCACCTCGGCAGGTGTCCTCCGCAGCAGGTCCAGCACCAGTGCCTCTGTTTAGTTGGGTGCCTTGGGTCGGTATCTAGATAGGTAAGGTAGGCAGGTAGGTATTTAGTTAGGTCGGTTGAAGTAGGTACCTTTACAGCAGCGTCTGCCGAGACAGGTACTTGTTTGTCTGCTCTCCTTCTTCTGCTTCTTCTTCTCCTCTCCTCTCCTGCCCGCCTACGCGCCTCTTTTCTTCTGCTTCATTCCTACCTAGGTACCTACCTACCTAGGTAGGCATGTATGTACCTTGCCTTGTTAGCCTCCATTTCCTCCCTACCAGGAGGTCTGCTTGCCTGCCTCTTCTTTTATTATTCATTCAAATTTATTTCCTCCATATTCGTATACGTACACAGGCTTGACAGGTACCTACCAAGCCGCTAGCTATTTAGCCTCCCTCTCCTCTCTAGCTCCTCTCTCGATTTTGACTGGCTGGCCACACCTTCCTTGCCTCTTCCCGCACCGCCGCGGCACATACACACACCCACAATCGCTCTTCACCATCCACCATTGACCTACCTTGCTTGACCCGTTCCCGCGTCCCTATTCCTCCCACCCAATCTCTTCTTTGAACTTTTCTTCGCGCTTCTTTTGCTTTATAGCCGCCTCATCTCTACTCTCTCGCTCTCTGTTTTCTGCTGCTCGTATCCTCGCCATCTCAATCTCTCTTTCCCCTCCTCCTCCTTCTCCTCCCGCTGACTGCGCTCTGTCCCCTCCCCCCTCAATTACTACCCGCCCAGATAGTCGCTGCTTGAACCCCTCCCCGCCCCAAGCACGCTTCCACCTTTGTCCACCTTCTTCGACCTCGACAACCACCACGAGCTCTTCAACCGCACCTAGTCGCCCATCATGGCGGGCCGAATGGTCTTGTACAAGCTTGTCGTCCTCGGTGACGGTGGTGTAGGCAAGACGGCCCTCACCATTCAGCTGTGTCTGCAACACTTTGTCGAGACTGTGAGTTTTGCGCCAATCCAACCCTTGCCTGCCTCATCCTTCTCGTCCTCCCTTTGAACCCCAATCACTCACCCATATTCTGTGCCCGCGCCTCAATGACGACGCCAAACCACTAACGGCTTACTCTCCCTTGCCCTCTAGTATGATCCTACAATTGAGGATCAATATCGAAAGCAGGTCGTCATCGACAGCCAACCCTGCATGCTCGAAGTCCTCGACACCGCTGGCCAGGAAGAATATACCGCCCTTCGCGACCAATGGATTCGCGACGGCGAGGGCTTCGTCCTCGTCTACAGCATCGCCTCTCGCTCCTCCTTTTCTCGCATCAAGCGATTCCATCATCAGATTCAGCGAGTCAAGGAGTCCTGCGCCTCCTCTCCCTCCTTTCCCGGCTCCCCCATATCCGCCGCCACCCCGCAACTGCCCGTTCCCATCATGCTTGTCGGCAACAAGAGCGATCGCGTTACCGAGCGCGAGGTATCCACGCAAGAGGGCCACGCCCTCGCCCGTGAACTTGGATGTGAGTTTGTCGAAGCCTCGGCCAAGAACTGTATCAATGTCGAAAAAGCATTCTACGATGTTGTCCGCGTCCTCCGTCGCCAGCGCCAGGCAGCTTCACGTCCCCAAGGCGCCGCCAGCGGCCGCAGCCGCACAGGAAACGGTGACATGGGCGGCCGCGACCGCGATTCTCACAAGTCGCGCCGCAAAGATGGTGAGAAGAGCAAGGGTCGATGTAGCATTTTATGAGAGATTCCATCCTATGACAGACTCGTTGTTTTCACCACCAGCTCGATATGTGCACACCATCACTACCGCCGCCGTCAATGGCGCTCCTCTCTCGCTCACTGCAATTCTGGCGGGCACGTCATCGCATCGCCTCGATTGTTTCATCATTACCACCACAGTTGTTGGTCTGGTAGACAGCAATAGATACGACGTTGCGCACAAAAAAAACGAGCGCTTCACAACTCCCTCTGCAACATATGAGGCCCAGCAATGACAATTGTCACTGCAGCCTCTCGAATCGGCGAACGGCGTACGAATATCAAAAAAAGAAAAGAAAGAGACAGACATATGATTTTTTTTTATTTTATATCGGGGCGCTGGGTTCTTATTAACGACATTTACGTATTACGTCTATTCGCCAAGGTTGGAAATGCTCTGCTTCTGCTATTCAGTAGCCATTTGTGTGGGAGCCCTCAGAAGGTCTTTCCCGCCTTTTCCTTGTTCTTGATCGGTCCTTTCTCCTCAACACGGCTATCCTCAATCGACCCTTTCTACTCTTTTCCTCTCACAAACCGATACATGACCGTGGTTGTTGGGACTGCATAATTTGAAGCAATGGGAGGTATCTGCGTTGTTTTTTTTTTTTGTCTGTTTTCTTCTCTTTCTTTTCCACGTCTATACTTGCACAGAAGAATGGTAAAAAAAAGCTGCAGAGCGACGGAATATATATTTGGTGGATGCCAAATGACAATTCACACATATTACAAAAGATGACAATTTTGGTTCACGTAGGCGTCATGATGTGTCTGACGATCAATACACACTCAATTGACTCATTTACTGCCATTTGCACCGCAAAGGATGCCGAGGGGAGTAGAATCCGAAAGAATCCGCAGAACAATCATGTTACAGAACAGCTCCAGCATCAGCAGCCACTTGGCAGGGGAAAAGCAGCTTGTTGCTTTGCAAGTGTGTGTGGGCATGCCACACTTGCTATTGTACCCGTCTTTGACTCTTTTGTCGTCCAATAAGCCCCAATGCCTAATGTTGCCTACTGGCAAAGGAAGCGCAAAGATGAGCGAATGGGGGGGGCGGTGGGCATGGAATTGAACCTGGCGCCACGAACCCATGCAAGCCACCAAAGCACATGGTTTTTAGTCCATTTTTCTTTATTATGATGTATTTTTTTACTCTCTCTCGTTTGTCCTCCCGTTTTATCAAGTCCACCAATATACCTACCCCCTGTCTGCGCCTCTTTTTTTGTTTTTTTTTCTAGAGAAAAATTAAATAAAAATTAAGGGTGCCGATTTTTGACTTTCAATACAACATGCATCCATCATGTTACCGTCGGAAAGAAAACCACAAAATAAAAAGTGTTGGGTATTCAACCCGCGGACAGGCACGGCAGACTGTGGCAAGTCGTGAGTGAAAAAGGAGACAAGCGGGAAAGGGACAGTAGGGTTCACAATGTTATCGTCTCTATTGAGGAAAAAAGGGTTAAAAGTTGCTGTACGAGGACCGCTAGATGCCCACCACAAAACGACGAAAAAAAAGTTTCGTCGCAGAAATAAGAAGAGAAGAAAGGGGAAACAAATGTTGACAGAAATAACGAGCATTTCCCGAACCACATCGGTAAAAATAAAGACTTTACTCCAACGGCATCAACACTGTCCGTATGGTCAAAAAGCGCCATACCCATTTTGTCCAGCTAATAAAAATGAAGGAAATCCGCCCTAGGAATGAGTTGAAAAGACACGAATTTGCCACGTGCCTTGATGTTATGAATGTTGTTGTGTTTGTACTTTTCTCGATTTTTTTCTGGTTTATGTTGCGATGCGTCGTTAATCCTTCGTAGCATGTTCGTCACCAAAAGGTCCGCCGCTAGTCTTGCTATTCCTTGCAGACTCGCCGTCGCCCTTTTCTTCCGTAATCGCCGCCAGGTTCGCAGCTCGCGGCGTAGCGCTGGGCGGGTCGGCAAACGGACTCGTGCCACGCGGCTCTGGCTCCTGGGCAATATGGATGGTGCCAATCTCGTCCGAGCTCTCCTTACTGCTCAGTGACTCGTTGGAAGACACGACCGACAGCGAGCTGCCTTCCTGCTTGGCGCCAATATCAATCTTCTTCAGTCCGCCGACCTTGACTACCTGAGCTCGGCCTTGCGTAGCCGTGTAGGTTGCGCCGACGCTAAAGTTGCTGGCGGTGCTCGCGGGTCGGTTGGGAGGACCAAATCGCTCCATGTCAATGGCGGGGACGGGAGGCGCATTGGCACCGGGCTTCACACTGACGACAGTGGGCTTGGCACGCATACCAGCCTGCGAGGCCGTCTGAATTTCGGCCTGTCTGCCGTAGATGGTCGACGCAATGCTGGCACGCGGGGCGTATGAGGTTCTATCCGTCGTCGCAGAGAAGCCAGAGTAGGTCGAATCACGCAGGTTTCCGGGCACAAAGAAGTGCTCGGAGCCATTGACTTCTCCGTTGTGATGGACAGGAATAGGAGGAACCGGGGGCACGAGTACATCTGGCGATGTTGGGGTCGCGCGGTTGGTGACTCCGGGAATGTAGGCAATCTGAATAATGTTGGAGGCACGGGTCAGGACGGTCGAGGCTATTGAGTGAACCGTGTGCGTAGATGCACGTCGGCCCAGGTTCGATTGGTCACACTTCTCGACACCCTGCGTTGGGGTACTGTCGGCTTCGTAGATGGAGATGTGGCGGTCGTCGAGGCGGCTGGCTCGCTTGGGCTTGATGAGGAATCGCCAAACCAGGTAGGTAAGGAGAGCAATGACAATGATGCCACCAATGACACCACCTGCTATAGGACCGGCACTAGGACCGTCGTGACCTTTGCTTGCGCTGTCGTTGCTTCCTCCGCCAGTGGTGCCATCGCTGGAACCGGTGACTCGGCAGAAGGCTTTCGGGCACTCGGTGCAGCTTTGTGTGGTGAAGCCGCAACTTTGTCCGGTCGGGCATGTTGGGCAAATGAGCTTTTCGCCCGCGCTGCAGCCGACACAGTTGTCTTGACGGACGACAAGTTTGGCGGCTATTGGGCGAGTTAACATTTTGCGCTGAGATGAACGCATTGGGGGTGGAGGTAGGATGCCCTGCAGAAAGCTTACAGTAGTTGAGAAAAGACAGATCTCGCGCAGGAGACATGTCGCCTGCCATGTCCGCCATGTATCAAGGCACCGCTGCTGGTATGTTGTTTGAAGAAGACTGCGTCGGTGGAACGTCGGGCTGACAAGTGTCACGATTGTGTGTTTCGGAGCGGAGTCGGGGTACTTCAGATGCGAAATCTGATGGGAAAGTCGCTGATGTGATAACTGAGGCGTTGTGTTTTCGATAAAAATGAAGGGCAAAGATACGCCGAGTCGAGAATGAAGAGAAAGAGACGTAGAAGTCGGCCAGCGATCGAAAGGCGTGAGAAAGAAGGGGTTGATGGAACGAGCGTGCGCAGAGACTAGCTCTGGTAGAATGTGTGAAAGAAAAGAGAAAAATCGGCTCGGATATCAAGCGACAGACATAGTGTCTATATCGGAAGTCGACCAGAATGATTTGCCGGGAGACGGCAGATGAAGATGGTTTCCGATGGTTGCTGTGTTGGATGAGATAGATTGAGGAGGAGAGGAGCAAGTTGGGGCACCTGCGAAGGGACGGGCAGAGCGGCGGCCAGGCACATGGACACAGCATGACGAGCAGCGTTCAGTTGCTGAAGATGGCTCATTTTCAACGCTGGGGGCCAGGGGTAAAACGACGCTATTACCCAAAGTAGACTAGACTTTCCCGACTTAATCTATGCACGTTGTTACGCACGGTGCGCTACGAGCTGCGTCAGCTAAAAGATACTACGAAGTGCAGCCATTACTAGCAGACTACTAGAGAGATGTACAGTAAGCAGGATAAAGTAGGATGGCTTGGCGAGTCTCGTTCCAGAACCACAGTGATGCAGACAAATAGCGCACTGTGCTTAATCCCCACCACGCCAGCAGATGCGCAGGCCCAGCAATTTATTTACAGTGCCCTTCCCGCCAGTCTGCAACGGCTGGTCCGTTGGAGCCCATGGCAGGCACAGACAACGGCATCGCCGTCAGGTGCCTTATTTAATTTCAGCCGCCAGCGAGTAAAAACGCAGCGAGCAGCATTTCTTGTGTGTCGCGCTATCCAGCCTGCAACAATATATAAAATGGGAGAGAAAATAACGGCTCCAACAGTCAACAGAGCATGGCACTTGGATGTAGTCGTGGCGTCATATTTTTTTGGTTGCCGTCGTAAAGGCAGCCACGTCAATGCTTCTGTTGCACAACACGAAGGCATGCATTCCACGGACCTCCACTACACGGGGACTTGCGCCGCATCAGCGCTCGCTTGAGGCGGAATTGCATTGCTGATGTTGACGCGAAGTGGATTCTTGATGATGTTGTTCGTAGTTTTGGTTTTCCTCGTTTTTCGTCGACTCCACGTCTGGTGTGTTGCTGTTCCTTGCAATTCTCGTTGACCCAGTCATCACTCGCTCTGAGCGTGCATACACAGCCGGCCTAAATACGAGTTTGCATCTCTTGCGGCGCAAGCCGGTAGTTACGCCAGAATCCCCAGAACACAAGACGGCTGAGACAGAAATGCACAGATTAGTCAGCCGAGCTATTCGTGTTTACTTTGACAAACGAATCTGCAGGTTAGGTGTTGATGAGGAGACTGCAAACATTTATATGAATTAGCCAGCGGATTGGCCAAAACTCTCCTCACATAGCTCTCCCCACTGCGTCTGAAACGTGCTACTGCCGCTTCAAATGGCCGTAACACCCGCGTGGGTCACGGCATCGCAAAGACGGCGATCTCGGCATCCAGCAACATAACTGAGCTGTCGCCTGGGGATGCATAAATCGCCATCACATTACAACATGTACGCGCGTTGTGCGACCATGGTGGCATTCATAGTGAATAGTGGGTGCACAGTCGGAGGTCGAGTCACCAGCGCCAACATTCCTACCCTGCAGAACATCTCTGATTTCTACATTTCTAGATCAATTGATTATTTCTGCACGGTGCAAACTGTTCAAATGACGAAAGAACCATCGAATGTGGACAGCCGCCCTACGTTGTCGATATTCGAATGTCATGGCTTGCGTGCACACGCCTTTCGCTATGTCTCGCGCCGAGCGTCGTTTGTGTCACGATCTGTCAACCTCGGTGAGATATGGTCAAGGGCGAGTCGACTACGGCAGCCACTGCGGACATATGGGTTCCTATTTCACGGCTACACGTGCCACACACCCACTCTTCGAGTTAGGTGTTAGATAGTATCACAGCTAAGCCTATAGAATACATTAATTTTAACACTAAATAATTAATTCTAAGAAATAGGTAAAAAAAAAAAAAAAAAATAATCCTTACTAGTATCTAGATCTCTACTGATCAATCTAAGTGATAGTTTCACTAATTACTCTTGATGAGACCTTATAGTGATAGATACTGCTTATTACTACCTTATAGCAATCAACCTAACTTACTACCTAAGAAACAGACCAACTATAGACTAGGATTAAGCTATCGTTATACTTACCTAGGCCTAATAGAACTTAATATTATAAATAGGGAAAATAGCAAAACTTATTATAACTATAGTAAAACTAGACATTTTATTTAATAACTTTTTAGGGCCTTCTCCTTTTCTATAACCACACCTCGCCTGATATATCTAGTTTCATTTTAACATAGCTAAGTAAGCTGCATCGCGGGCTAACTCCAGTTAGGTCGCCAGAAAAAACGAAGCTCTAGGGAATAAATAGTTATAGTCAAAGCCAAATACTTCCACCCCAGCTGCGGCGGCCACAGGGGCCCAAACACGACAGGTTGAGCAACTGGGATATAGTCGTGACTATCTGGAGGGACAAGGATCTACGGCAAAGTACCAGAGCTGGGAATGCAGCAGGCGACTTATATTGCAACGGAGAAGTATAATGAAGAGAAATAAAACCGGGCTACGGGCGCTTCAATAAGACTGTCACGATGCGTAACCGAAGTTCCCAGGCAGGCAGATGATGTAAACGATGTTTGTCAATCTTTCCACTATTTCCCCGCAGCAGTTGGCCACCCCTCATGTCGACTTGGACGGTGATTCAACCTCAGCAAATCCCATCACAGTCCAGTTTGACCTGACCCGTTCCTTGACCTCTTCTGGATAGCTTCTCTCAAACTCACACCCTCTAAAGCTAGTCTTGCCCTCGTACTCCATTGGGAAAAGACAGTCCGATACCACCTTCCCACCCCGGGTCGGATTCCCCCTTCCATGTGACATGTACGGTGTGAGAGGGAGGACGGGAATATCTTCAAATAGGTACTCATCTTGACCGGGGCGACAGCGCGTCGCCAACGCCCACATGATATCCTTGAAATCTCTAACATTCACATCGTGCCCAAAGAGCATGATGCGGTTCATCAACATGGCACTCTTGTCATTGAACACCAAATTGCCAATCTTGTTGCAAAATTCTTTAGATGTTGTGCGCAGCTCCGCAAGCTTCTTGACATCGACTTTCAAAGCACACCACGTCGCATAGGTTTCAAGCGGAGCGAACGCGTCGATTACCGGGAACCCATGCTGCCGGAGCAACTGCAAGAGCTCCTCCGAAGCCATGGACGCCGTCACATGCTATATTGCGTAAGAAACGATAACAAATTGTCTCAATTGCCAAACTTACAGATTCATCGGTTATTTTGCCAGGAACAGAGACGGGCAGAATAGCGTCGTCCCGGTAGGTTATAGCATTGACCGTGAAAAGCGGCTGCATATGCTGGTCGCCGCTGAAGTGCAGGCCGAGGTAGTCCTCAAACGGACCCTCCGGGGCCTTGTCTCGGAAGGAAAAGGTGCCCTCCATGACGATTTCGCTATTGGCGGGAACAAGCAGATCGCTCAGCTCACATTTCACCACGTCCAGCGGCTGGCCTACCATGGCACCAACGTACTCGGCTTCCGATATGCCTTGGGGAACGGGACACGCCGCAACGACGCTGGCCGCGGGCGGGACGCCAAACGCCAGCGCCCACGAGACTTCGGTCTTGCCCTTCTTCAACCACATGTCTCTGATGACGGAGTTGTGCTGCCCCGATCCCACGAGGCACACGAGCCGTCTGCTGTCGTGGATCATGCCTCTGAAAATGGACCAATTTGTCCACTTGCCATCTGGGCTTTGGAGGACATGCACTCCGTACGTCTGTAGGTACTTGCCCGCATCGCCCTGGTGGAGCTTTGGAGCCGGGAGTTTGTGCAAATCAATGTCGTCGCCAAAGATTTTGTGCTGCTTACACGGTCCGGTGGACAAGATTCGCGGCGGAATCGGTGGCCGATTCTTTGCTTCCTGGCTTCTTTGTAGAATGTCTTTCCAGCTAGAGTCTGGTGGCAAGCCAAACGACCGGGCTATCCGCCCGTACTTTTCTTTCTCACGGCTTCGAAGGCTCGCGGCGTTGCCAAACATTCGCCACAGGCCATTTTTAGCTCCCTTTACGCTGTTGAATAGAGGTGCTTTGCCGTTTACTTCACTCACACGCCTGACTATGGCACCAACCTCGAGGTGCGGGTCGACTTGTTCATTTATCTCTGCGAGATCGCCGTCGGCGCGTAGCACATCGACGAATGTGCGAAAGTCGAGCTGTGCGGCGACGTGAGCCGGCTGGGAAGACAGGGTGCTTTGGGTGCGATATGCTGACCTGGCGAGTGGTTGGACGATGAGCAAATGCGCGCATGGGCGACTGACTCTGCTGGTGAAGACGAACGCCATGGCGAGCAATGGTCAAAATTCAGAGTTGAGTCCCTGGTTCGTTCGCCGGCTACAATACATAGCTGTACGAAAACTCGATTTTCAGGTTTTAGACTCCCTAGAAAAGTCATTGACTCTCATTCCAGAGGAGCCGAGCGACTAAAAGGTGAGGCGGAACTTCCGAAACTCATTCCGAGCCTTGTGTCACGTAGCGCCGGACTGAGTTTCTTGGGTCGCAGCACGTACCCAAATCCAAACTCAAAATGTTGGACTGGATTTCGGTCATCAATGAGATCATCTTGACTGCATTACATGGTGTCCTTCCGGGGACCCCGGGTGAAATTACAGATCAATTCGGACCATGATCCGTCGCCCGGAGGAAAGCGGGGCTGAAGCCGAGGGGGCTCCGCCAGCAACTTGCCGTCCATCAGCATACATGGAAGAAGCTCTTGGATAACCAACTTGGATTTAGAAACACCGTAGAAAATACAAGCTATCGAAGGAGCGTTTTCCAAAACAAGTTATACCGAGCACTTCTCACAAGCATTTGAATTGGCATTGCATTAAGACACCGCACCACCATGACCAGCATCCATGCCCGCAGGAGCCTGATTCACCGTCTGAGTCCATGTTTAATGCGCCCAACCAGACCAGCAGACCACTTCAGCACCAAGTAAAATAGCACACGGTCAAAGGATAACACAAAGAAACCACAGCAACACGAGAACCAAGCCCCGAGTCCTTCAACACAGCAACCCTTGGGGGAAACAAGGCCGCGCCGCATCGTCGTAGGCATCACCGGCGCCACGGGAACCGTATACGCCACCCGAATCCTCTCCATACTCCACCAGCAAGGCGTCGAGACACACCTCGTCATAAGCAAATGGGCCCTCGCAACAATGAAGTACGAGACGAAGCTATCCGAGGCAGACATTCACGCCCTCGCCAGCAGGAGCTACGTCGTCAAGAACCTCTCCGCCCCCATTGCATCAGGCTCCTTCCAGCACGACGGCATGATCATCGTGACCTGCAGCATGAAGACGTTAGCGGCGGTGCGAACGGGCTTCTGCGACGATTTGATCTCCCGCGCAGCCGACGTCACTCTCAAGGAGGGCCGGAAACTCCTCCTCGCCGTGCGCGAGACGCCCCTGAGCGATGTGCACCTCGACAATATGCTGTTTCTGCGGCGCGCGGGGGCTGTCATATTTCCACCCGTTCCTGCCTTTTACACGCGGCCGAAAAGCATGGATGACCTGGTGGACCAGACCGCTGGGAGGATGCTGGACTCCATGGGACTGTTTACGGGCGGATTCAAGCGCTGGGACGGGTTTGAGAGGGACTGAGCTTGTTGTTGTATACCGATGGGTGGGTAGAAGGCTTTTGTATTAAAGTAGTTATAGATGCTTGTTCCACATTATTTCTTAAAAAATTTCAAGTTTGGTTTTCCAAGAAAAAGTCGTCATTCTCACAGAATGGCCAAATGCGCCCATATCGACTCCGCCCATCCGGACTGCATGTCTGCACTAGGAATGGGACCCAACCCAGCCCCATAAGCTGCTGCAACGGCGTAATTAGCGAACGATAGGTTCAGGTCCGGGCAGAACTGGTCCGGCAAGGCGCATTCTCTTCCTCTGCGACCCATCCTCATTACCGTCTGTGAATACCCTCTTCTGGCCATCTTGTCCCTCTAGCAAACCCAAATTGAGAAGAATACCGCGCATCTCAGAGAGTCATTTAAGAAGTCTACCCGAGGCGCGCGATATCTAGGCTAGGGTTGCTGTGCACTAGAGAAGGTATGAAAGTGTGCGCAAAGGCCGCATGCAAGCGCGTATACCATCGAATTAGCGCGGACAGACATCTCAATTCAGCCTGATGTGCAAATGCGAAAAAAAAAAATCCAAGAATATCCATCAGGATGCGACATGACGGTGACACGCAGAGGCTGACAGCTGGCAGCGTGCAGTGAGCACCGCCGCAGTCGAGGAGCACGAGGAGCCACACAAAGAAGCCTGTAATCCCGGCTTGCTCCAGGTTGCTATTTTTGGGCATAGCTTGTGTTCCTAGACGGGTCCACAAAAGCTGCGTGGCCTTGAATTTCTGTT